ATTACCCCTTACCATGTGAATTTAGACATAATGCACAATCAAAAATTTCAAATTTAAACCACACTTTATTTCAATTTTTTAAGGTTTTTGACAGTGCCGTGAAAGTGGTATTGTATTTCATTTTCTCTAACGTCACTGTCCCCGCTGTGTGGTTTCCTTTCACGACGTCTACGTCGTCCACACTGAGCTTGGATATGACCCATAGCTCCGTAGTTGTAACATTTCCCTGCAAGGAAATAAAGATTCTTATTACAACAATAGCAGCGAAATACCACGTGACCTTTCGCGCGAAAACATGAAAATAACACGAAAGTAGAATGGATTGCCATTTCATTGAGAGAGTCATTCGTATCTCCATGCGGTAATGTAAGATCCCCTTTCATTATACGAATGGCAGTGAATTACTAGAAGAGCTTCCGCGCAAAAATGTGACAAGTGTAACATGTTATTTTTACATGTGAACACCGCACCGACGCTATGGTTACAAAGTAAATAGTACGCAAATGAAATGTTCGGTGTTTCCTTTATCTTTATATGACAAAATGATATTACATGGCTGTTTGGATGTAATTAAATTAGGGAAAAACAATCTTTCTCTCGTTCGCTGCTTGCATTCCTGAGACGTTCAACACTTGAAGGGATGTATCAGTCGCATTTCAACGCGCCACGCAATATCATGTACTTAGTTCCCTTCAAATTTGAAAACTAGGCGAGTAAGACTTAAATTAAATTTGTCTATCTTAGTGAATGGGAAAACCAAATTAAACGGTTGAAAATGTATCCAACGGTAGGAAGAAGTTTAGATTACTAACTGGGTCGACCTGGAGGTTGACGTAAGGGTTGGCGCGGTGGTGGGCGCGGTTGCACAATGTTCTCTTCTTCAGGCCGTTCATCCTCGACCCTTCTCTCTCGCACAGGAGCCCTTATCCCTTATCTTCCCTCTTCTCTCCTTCATTCCCTATCTCTTCGCCGCCTCTCCCTATCATCGTCTCTTGCGTCCTCCTCCCCTCTCTCGACTTCATTGTGCAAAAACTCCATGGCATCATGTATTTCAGTTATCTGAAAGGCAGAACCCAAATAATTTAGCATACATCAATTTTTTTTACCAACTAAATAATTTTACACGGTCCACTCTTTTTTTAATTCGAGGAATAACACCGGTTACGACTGACACAATATGATTCTAGGAGATGTAAATAACTGTACTAAACTTGAAAAACGACAACAACCAAAAAAAGTTGCCATAAACCATTATTGAAAGAACACTTCTAAAGAAAACATGGAAAACTCTCTCTAATTGAAAACAGTGGAATCACTTACACTTTGAATGTATTACGAAAGCTTGAATGACTCATAAACTTTTCATAATGGCGCATTTGATAAAACTTCTACAACTTAGAAAACTTAACTGACTTACGGTTTAAGACCTTGTTTCTGTAAATGACAATCACACAGCTGCATCATACCGGTGTATAACTCTATCAATGAACGTATGTACAATGTTTTAACCTTTCCGCAGAGGTTAAAAGAAGATTTCAGCTTCTCGAAGAAATCTGAATTGTTTTATAGTGTGAAAACCAGCCGGACAGTAATGTACAATAATGCTCTACCAAAGCATGAAATGAACGTTCAAAATGTAAACGATTGTACAGTTCCTGTATAGCGATATAAATCATTCATTGAAACCAGCTTTCATATTGCTCACGACAATAGCTAATTCCGGAGAAGAGCGAAAATTAAACGCGATGGGTATTCAATTCGTTGAATTAGAAGCAGGGCCAGTCTGTAATAAATACATACTGTGAGATTTTACGCCAGGAACTAACGGGGTAATTTGGCTCTGTCGGTATTGTATATACTGAAAGATTTTACGCCAGTAACGGCGTAATTTAGTTCAGTCGGTAACATACACATACTGTAAGATTTTACGCCAGTAGCTAACGGCGTAATTTCTTCTAGCCGGTAATATATATACAGTAAGATTTTACGCCAGTAACTGACGGCATCATTTCTTCCAGTCGGTAAAATTTATACTGCAAGATTTTACGCTAGTAACTTATTTTAAACGGCATAATGTCATTTAGTTGGTATATCGACAAACTGTAAGATTTTACGCCAGTCACTCTTGACGTAATTTCATTCAGTCGGTAAAATTTATACTGCAAGATTTTTTATGCCAGTAACTTATTTCAAACGGCATAATGTCATTTAGTCGGTATATAGACAAACTGAAAGATTTTACGCCGTTAACCAACAGCGTAATTTCATTCAGTCTTTATTTACATGCCATGAAATTTTACACCAGTAACTAACGGCGTAATTTCAGTCAGTCTCTATTTACATGCTGTAAGATTTTACGCCGTTAACTATTGGCGTAATTTCTTCAGTTTTTATTTACATACTGCAAGTACGCCTTTAACCATCGGCGTAATTTCTTCCAGTGGGTGTTATATATACTGTTACAGTTTACGCCAGTAACTAACGGCGATATTTCTTCCAGTTGGTAATATATATATATATACTGTAAGATTTTACGCCAGTTACTAACGACGTAATTTCTTCCAGTCGGTAATATATCTATTGTATGATTTTACGCCAGTAACTAACGGCGTAATTTCTTCCAGTCGATATATGTACATACTGAGGGGTTTTATGCCGTTAGTTAACAGCGAAAATCTTACAGTGTGTTCAACAACGCAAATTGGCGTAAAATCGTTCAGTCTATAGACTGCATTAGTCACATAATATTAATTACTATCTAATTCCACTACCTTGTGACATTAAAAACAGAACTAATATAATAGTGTAAACCTTGTTAGTTCGATCAAAATAAGCGTCCTGCATTCATCTTCCTGTTGTTGTCGGTAAACTGACTAAAGTCACATACAATATAGTGATGAACAATTATGAGAGACACATTTTCTGTTGTTTTCAAATCAGAACAATATCTTCTATGATAACAATCGCCGAAATAGAAGTACTGATATAATTACCGGTATATACAATGAACCAATCAGATCTTGACATGTCAGTTCACGTACCTTCAACTACGCTATGTAGAGATGTATATTTTTTTTATTTCACACCTATTTGAAACCAGCATAAAGAACTTGTTGAGGATGCAGTGTTAAATGGGAAAAATTATACATCATTTGTCTAATTATTCACGTTGTTATTGTTGTTTTAATGCATGTAAAATACCTTCCACTTCCAAGGGTGTAGACAGTTCCTGATGAAGTCAACAGCAGAGCATGTTCTTTGCCACAAGCAACTGATGTTATCTCTTTATCTATGGCTATTGCTTTAAACACAGGAACTGGTTTTGCAACAGCACCATCTTTCACTTGATCATTGCAGATGACACCAGCCTGTCCATTTCCTACGATGAAAAGACAATGTCAGTCTGTGAGAGTTAGGAAAGGTTTATCAACACATTTGAAGCATAATGTAAAAACAATTTGCATGATGAGGGAAGCTTTGTGACTCAGTGGCAGAACAGTGATAATACTGGATACTTTTTTCACTACTTAATTGCGTGGTTTCCCACTCTTGCAAGAAGTTTCAGTGACAGGCTTCATAGCACAGGCTAGCTGTGTCTATTAACTTGGAAAATATTTGAATGTAATTTTTTCTCTTCAATGCCTTTAGTCATTGTGAGAAGTAAATTCTTATCCTTTCACTCCAAGCAATTATTAAGTGACATCTCCTGACCATACCAAAACGATGTCAAACAGAAAGGTGATGGGAGGAGAGAAAATATCAACTCTAGAGTAATGTATGATTTCAGTCTAATTTCTCACAGATAAAATTTTAACTAATGTATGCAAGATGGTTAGGAGAATTTATAGTAAGAACTAGGAGATGCAGGAGTTAAAAACTGATTTTGCAACAACTCTTTTTTGCCAAACTGAATATGTTACCCTTTGTATTCAAAATAATACTGCGTCAGATCTAATGCTATAGTATGAAGATAATCCTGGTTGTCAGTCATTATTCTTATTACAAACAAAACATTCATTTCAGACAGCTCTTGCTGCCTTATATCTACTGTACCTGTGACCAAAATGCAGCTGGACTCTCTGCAGCCAACTTCTTTGAATTTTGTGCCATTACTGCAGACTTTCACAAGTTTTGATTCTTCATTAAATCTAGTGTAATCAGTCCATTGTAAGCAATCTCCATCTTTGGTCAGAAAGACAAGTTGTGTCCAGCTACAGCATGCATCTGTAACAAAATGATCTGGAAGAAGATTTTCCTCTTCCCCAAACATTTTTGTTTTAGAATTCCATCCAACCTTATTGATAGTACCATTCTCTAGGACAGAAAAAAGTGTAGATTCTTTAGAAGAAGCAACAGTGAGTTTATTTTCAATGTGCAAGCCATATGGGATTACAAAACTAGGTCCATGCATAAAGCCACATAGAAGTTCAAAGCCCAGCTAAGCAGTTTGTTACCTCATACTTACACTGATTAACTCTTTTCTGAAATGTACATGTGTTATCTTTGTACTGCATTTCCCTCAGACACTCAGAGGGAGGATATTTTTTCAAGAATATTAATGGGGCAATAATTAAATTTACCTGGAAATAAACATGTAGTTTATTTGTGACAGTACACTGATAAATAATTGTACACACAATTTTGTCTCTTCAGCTGCTTGGAGGTGAATAGTTAACAACCATTCACCAAAGTGGGGGTGGCTTGTGATGGATATTTAACAAGCCACAAGCAGCAAGGTAAAAATCCACCACCAACCACTCACACCAAGGTAAACAGCTGTTTTAGTATATACCAAAACAGTGAGATAATAAAGCACAAAAATATGATTTTTTATTCATTTATTCCTTCAATGATTACAATATTTTGGGCACAAATCCCATACCAGTTGCTTGAAGGTGAATTGCAAAGGATATTCGGAGTTTATGTGGCCAATCAGAGTGCGCCTTCAAAGCCAGCCACTGTTTTAGTATATACTAATACTAGTTAACCACTTGGAACTAGCCAATCATTTCACAAGGGTTACTTACCTGTTTAGTATATACTAAATATTTCCTTGACGTATGTGTTAAAACAATTGTTCACTTCAGTGTCGTTGAAAATGGTGAATATTTACCTCGCTATTTCGGTGAATATTCATCACCAGCCACCTCCACTTCGGTGAATATCTATTTAATAGAGTTCCCGAACACCAGTAAACCACATCCACGTCACCGTTTTTTAAAAATGTAAAATAATAGCAAAGTACAATTTTACGACGCCTAGCTTTTAAAATTACCTTTAAGATAAAATGTGCTCGACCAGGAAGCCAGTATACCACTAACACAGTCAAAATTCAGCTGAACAGGTGTTAGGACTGAAGCGGGATGTGATCCACCAGTCTCGAAATCCACTTCTTGGCTTTCATTTGCGTTTATAGCTTTGGCAGTAATTTGTCGAAAGCCATTAAAACCGAAACCATAACATTGAAACCTTCCGTCAGGATGAAACGCTGACTTAGAAGTTGTATTCTGACTTGTTTTATCCATTGTAAGAGATCTACATGTGACCTTGTGTTCCTTCCGCCATTTTATCTGCTGAGTATCCTAGCCTTTCTCTGTAAGGCTTGGATGCATGGCGATAACCATGGAAAAATGTAAATGCTCAGAATGATGCGCAGAAGTTATAATCGAACGTTCGTTAATGTGGTGTGAAGTCAGTTATTGGCACCATTCTCTTACCTTGCTTTTTGTTTAAACTTTGGATCGATCCCAGCCGTTCACGCAACGCAAGGAACGTGATGATTACCATTGTTCGCTTTCAAAGGAAACTTCTTCTCTCGAGCGACTAGTCAACGACATGATTCAATCGTTATTTGAATGTTTGGAATAATGCAGTCGTTAACGGTCGAATTCTTTGCTGTAAATTGTTAAAGAGCACGCAAAAATGGCTTCTAAAAGACCATTGGTTAAACAAAAAGTGACTTATGGCTTCTCGGAAGATGGAAATTTGTATGAAAACGAAGACGATATCTCTGGCAAGCAAAGTTTAACAAAACGCGTTTCGTTTCACAATCATGAGCTGAGTGACTCAGATTCGGATGAAGAGAATTCCCTCGGAAGGATAAATCGCTCATCTTCAAAGCCTGCTGGGGATTCCCTTGATGGTCTTTTCAGGGAATCGGACACTAAAGAAAAGGAAAGCCTTGTAGGGTTGGCAAAGGCAGCATCCCCAGGAAGACCGAGATCAAACGACAAGGGTACGTAAGTAAGTTCGTTGATGCACAAAGTATCGAATATTGCACTGTTGCAGTTGGATACATTGTATATACCACATATTTAAACCCGAAAAGGAGTCAACAATTCAAAGAAAAAAGTATTTACGATTTGTCTTATTTTAAACACTGTGCATGTATATACAGTATAAATTAAATGGTCTTTATTTAAAAAATTTTCCATTTTAACCAATACTCATTTGTACTCATTATTAGATCTTGTTAGACACAAAATTGGTAGGAAAAATCCCAATTTAGTTAAAGATGGAATTAATCGATAATTATGCTCAGCTTATGCTGTCTTCAATTTCATTTTGTAGGGCAACCCAGGCCTGTCCCAAGATCTCGTCCAACTATTTCAGTAAAAAAGTCGCAGTTGGAAGGTTATTCTGTAACTTCTACTCAGCAGTCATCAGATGAAGAAGAAGGGAACATGTACTCTGTAAAAAAATCCAGTGAAACAATTAAGACAAAGGACGGATACCCAGTCCCACCTCCAAGAACTTCGCCAAGGCAGCATTCAGAAAGGACTTCTTCATCAAATGTGGTTTCACCCAGACCTGTGCCACGATCTAGGCCAGCTTTATCCCCTAGAGAAGGACAATCAAAATTGTTTCAACAGGACTCTGGTTTATTGAAAGATGATATGATCAGAAGAGTGAGAGATATTGAAGTTCCTGAATTCAAAGAATCTAAAAAAGCAGCAGATAAACCTGTGGCTCCTTTGAGAAGGAAAAAGACTCTAGAGGAAACACATGAAGGTACAAGACCTCAGATTACCAAAACTATTATTTCCACTTTTGAGGATGAAAGCCTGGCTCCAGGCAACAATGGTGGGAGAGCAATTGAACAAGATGGGAACTTGAGACATGGGAAAGTTAGAAAAGTCAAAGGTCGACCTATGATTTCAGGACCAAGGTCAGATTCCTTTGAGGAATTAGAAAGTGGAGATGATACAGAAATAGTTAATAACAGAAAAGGTTTCTATGGCAGAGAGTATCATGAGGAAGATAAAAGTTACCAAAGGGCTGTGACAGACTCTTCCGAAGGACTTGAAAGGGTGCCACCTAAACCTTCACCTCGAAATCGCAAACAAAATCAGCAAGAGGTAGAACAAAGTGCAAACCATGTCAAGCATTCAGATGCCCCTTTAATGAAAAAAGCATCAAGTCTTGAGATGTTGCAATCCAAGCAGAATTCATTTTCAGAGAAAGACATGCATGTATCTGTGCCCAAAGAAAGAGGAACTCAGAGATTGGAGTTGAAAAAGAGCCTTACCCCAAAGAGACCTGTTAGTGCTAAAAAGAGCTCTTGGATGGGCCAAGAAAGGGTCCAATCTGATATAACAGACACTTTTGAAGAGCATGTCCCTCCAGCAGAAAACATTATCATGGGAAACCAAAATGAAAGAAGCTCCAGAATGAAAAGAGGATCAGAGTTTGAATCAGGTACCTTCACAATATTTTGTAGGATTAGAGTACTTCTTTAAGTTGCAATCAAAGAAACATGATTTGAATTCTTAGTAGAGATTGACAGTGTGGCAGAGCATAGGAGTGAAAAATTGAAAGTTTTGGAGTTTGATTGCTAATACTCAAGCAACTTAATAATGTGATCTCTGTAATTGTAGTAATAGTAATGATAATTATTAGTGGAAATTCCACAAGGTGGCTCAGTCCAATGTTTGCAGTTTGAATTGGAACTTGGAATGTTGGTTTTTGTGGCATGAGGAAAAATTGAGTTCCTGAAAAAACCCTCAGATGAGGAGGACAAGAATCCACACCATCCATTGCTCCTCAAACTTGCAAACAAAGAGACTAACTTCCTAACATTGACTGATATACAGCCTAGTAACAATTTACAGCTGTAAGGTAGTTGATGAATCTCTTCATGGTTTAATTGTGTTAGGTGGTGGTAAAGGAAGATCTGGACCGTTAAAGGCTAATCATCTTATTAGCCAAGTGGTGAGATCGCCACTCCCAAGAGAAACACAAACAGATGTTTGGGCAGAAACCAGTGGTGTAAGTCATGGTCAGAATCTTACAACAAAGAGATCCTTGTCATTGACAAATTTGAGAGGTACCAGCCCAGAGCTTTTAAGTGAGAGTGGAAGTGCAAGGAGCTCACAACACAGCAGCTTGATGGATACAACATCAATACGTCAGGCCGTGTTTGATGAGTGGAAGTCAAAGAAAAGTGAAAGATTGAGAGAGCAAATGGCCAGCAAGTCTGCTGAGAAGAAAAAACTTGAAGAGAAGGAAAAAGAGGAACGTCAACGAAAAAAAGATGTAAGCTGGTGTAAACTAATAGTTAATAGGTGTTTATGAAATCAATGTAACAGGTGTTCCAGGCATTCAGTTAACCCTTTACTCCCATAAGTGACCAAGACTGGATTTCTCCTTATAATATCAATACAATATCAAGCAGACAAGTGATGAGAATAAATAAAAATGTAGATGAGGGCATGATTAGTTGATCCATTACCATATTCTCAGAACAAACATAGTAAGAATGATATGGCAGACAGTAAGGAGAATAAATAATGACATCTTGGGAGTGAAAGGGTTCATAAAACCAAAAGCAAATGGTGGTATTTGATAGTAGGGGAGGAGTAAAAAAAACAAGGAAGATTTGACCATTGTGTAATTTACCAGACCCAACCCAAACTTCCATCCCTTATACACTCTTCCACTACTATTGCAATGGTACTGTTTCCTATTTTTACTTTATTTTGCTAACTGACTGCCTGGAATACAGGCTATTATGAAAATGTGCTTTTTTACATCATATTTAACATTTTTACTGCTTTGGATTCCACATTTCAGGTGTATGGTTTATCAAGCCTGAATGCTTATATCCCAAAATGCTCGTGTCATGTTTAAAAGCAGTGTTTCAAAGTTTCCTCCTTTTTTTTTTTTTCATTTTTTTCCTTTCATTTAATTTATAGACTGTATATATTTTTCAGGCAAAGATGGCTTTTGAATCTTGGAATGAAAAGAAACAAGAAGTAAACAAAGAAAAAAATGCCAAGAAAAAGGAAATAATGAATAAAGAACTGGAAAAGCAAAAAGAACAAAACATTAGAGCAAGAGATGCAAAAAAATACTTCGAATCCTGGAAGGCAAAGAAAGATGAAGAACTTAAAAAGGAACATCATAAGAAGAAAGAGGAAGAAGTTAACAAGATAAAGAAAAATGAAGAAGAACAAAAGGAGAAAACTGTTGATTCACAAAAAGCATTTGACAACTGGTGAGACATTTATTTTTCTCCAAATTGTGACCAATAAAATTTTTATTTATTGTAGTTGTTAAATGTTAATGCTTAATTTTTCAATGACATGCTCAAATTCACAATTGGGTCTTTTATATAATGGTCACACATCAATTTGGTTTACTGTTGTCAATGGAATATTACAACTGTAATTTACATTTTTTTTTTTCAGAGATTCATGGTCATTTAACAATAGGCCATTTCCGAAATACTGCTGGCCTCATTTTCAAAACGAGTCCTGGTGCTCATCCTCTCACATGATTATAAATTTTCATTCACATGCAAATTACACTAATTTTCATACAAATGGTTGAGCACCGAGCCTTGTTTTAAAATAGGTGAAAGGTAATTCGGAAAGGTCTACTGAATAACCTCAATAAGACCTACGGAAGGCAATATGATTTGTCCATTTTTAATAATTGTTAAATTATTAATTAAAATAACTATAAAATTTTTTCAAAGTAATATCAATTTTAATATTTATGTTAAAACATTATCATATCCAAGACACAAAGTATTTTGTGTTTTCTTTATTGTGAGATTATACTATTAGATGTCATGTTAAAGATTGGGAGATTATCCATTTTATGTCATGAGAGTAAATTTCAAATTTTTTTCATTTTGAATTTATGTAGGAAAAAGGAAAAAGATAAAAAGCTCACTGAAGAGTACAAGAAAAAAAGAAGGGAGGTAAATAATAACAGCATGAAAGAAGAGGAAGAAAAGTATGAGAGAAGCATTCAGTGTGCTGAGCGTTATCAGGCCTGGGTGGAAAAGAAAGGGAAACCACGCAGAGGACCACCTCCACCTACACTGACACAGAGGTACTTAGATACTGAGACATTGGAGAAAATTGAATTTTGTCATCCAGTCACCATTCACAGGCTGTTGGTAAAATGCTAACAAAAGTTCACGTTCGATGAATAATACATAAACCCTTTCTCACAAGGTGTGAACTTTCATTACAACCCTTAAAATTTATAAACTTTAAGTTACACTGTAACCTAGCAGGTTATTTTTAAAGCCTTTTCTTTAATAGGAAGTCACATCAAGGAAAGAGGATTTATCAAAAGTAAAACATTTTCATATGTACAGTATTACCCTTAAATTTAATAGAAAATGTCAATGGTCATTTTTATGGCAAACAGTAACTTTGGAAGTATTAAGCACTCTAACAACAGCTAAAAACATGGGCTCCAAGAGTGGTTTGGCTTGCCAGAGATGTCCCAAGACCATGGAGACTTTGAAGATGTTCAAAAGCTACATTTAAGGGTTATCAAGCTATCTTTGATTGCATGTAGTATTGCAAACAATACATCAGCCAAACCATTTCAATCTCTAAGGGGGGGGGTTGAGGGCCCAAAGTGGAGTGTGTCTTTAGAGAAGATGACACCATGTTATCATAGTGAGAGCTCATTTGTACTTCTTTTATCTGTTGGGAACATTTGCTCCTGACCAGTTTTACCTAATTTTTTTTTTTCGCAGGAGCTGGTGCCCAAGTGGCAGGAAGTCAGGCAACTGTATTCCTGGGAAGGTAGGAGCTGTGATTCAAGCTCCTTCTCCCAACAGATCACGAACAATGTCAGGATCTTACTACTTCAAGCCAAACAAGGTATATGCATAAAAAAATAACAACTCTAAAAAATGATTACTGGTTCACTTTTCAATGTCATTAGAGCAAGTGACTACAATGTGATAACAATACCATATTTCCTGGAATAAGTGCACAAATTTCAGCCAAAGGGGTGGTTCCTTATTGGAAAGAGGGTGCTTAATCAAGGGGGGTGTCTATTAAGTTAGTGCAGCAATAGGACAAAAATTAAAAAGATAATGTACATAAAGGAACTCTGTAAGCACATGGAGATAGAAATGACTGGAAGTGTCTTTAATTGAAAAGAAACTATTCTCTTATACTGATTCTAAAAAGTGGCAATAAATCAGGTTTCCTTGTATCCCTAATATTTAAGAACATGAGGAAGGAGGTGGACACATTTTCGACATTACAGCCTAGATGGTGGGTGCTTGTAAAAGCACAGGCATATATTTGAGGAAATATGGTAACTGTAATAACAATACTTTTTCTAGTACAATTTTGTGCAAAATAAATTACCATTTGTTGGTCATGGGCAGATCAATCATTGATCAACCAGATAGATGACTTTTGATAAATGATCTGGCATCTTTATATGAGCAAAATTTTTGCTATTCAAATCAAGTAATTGGTTAGATTGCTTTACATCAGAGGAGACCATTTACTTTATTCTTTTGACCTTAAAATGATGACCTTAAATTTAGGGGTGATATTGTTAGAGGATATTAAATGTCTGTCTCTTTTGCATCTCAAAGAGTTCACAAATCTTCTTGGTGTTCATGTTTTTCATATTCTCACAAGAACAATTGCATGGGAGTACATTTGATGATATCATTTGACACCATCTAATTGTCTTTCAAGTGTACTAAAAAATTTGTCAATGTATCTTTCCCTGTCTAGTTTTGATGCTGGGGATAATGCAGTTTCTTGGACTTCACTACCATGATGATATTTGGAATTTCAAATCCAACAGAAAATTAGGGTTTCTTATTTAAATTCAATTAATTTTGACTGATATATGTATTTATTAACTAAAAGGTTTTCTAGATGTTTTTTATTTTCACTCCAACTTAATCATTCAATTGCTTCATGATAAGCTTAGGAGGAAAGTCTAGTTTACCTTCACACAAATCAAAGACGCAATAATCTCAAATTACTTATAAAAATTTTTATTAGTTTAGCCATTGGATTCTTAAGATCGTGAAAATAGTTAGTAAAGAATGTCAAGTAACAAGTGAGGGTATTATTTTTGTCTGAGTAAAAGCTCCTGGGGAATGAAAAGAAAAAATGACTGCAGAAATTTCCAAGTACATCGTATGAATACTAAATGCTTGTTTTACCTTACACTTAACACCTTTCAGTAAAAAATATTTAATTCAATGTAAACTTGCAATACAAATTCTGAAGGAGTTTTAACTATTTTAAATGACACATTTCAATTCTTGAGTAGGACTTCTGCCCAATTTTTTCAGAGTTTATTGTTAGTGTTAGTTAGACCAGTAAGATCTTCATTGAATTGAGAACTGTCTAACAGTAAAAACATAGTATTCATACAAAAGCCTAGGGTGTTACTGTAAATGACAAATTTAGTTATGTAAAGAAATGAAGCCTCAAATGACATCTGTATGTTCTGTATGTTACTGAATATTCTTCAAAAACACTGAAGTCATAACACAAGTTGAAAGTAACAAGAGAAGTACCCCTGCACTGAATCTAGTTGAAATCATCAACAGTGGAGCCACAAGACAGAGAGAAGCACATAATCTGACTTAGCTGTACATACTGAAGAGCCAAAAGCTTGGGTGTACATGTTAACTAAGTTGGTGAAAAATGTGGTACCCTTACTACTAGTGCACTGGACTCTGGTTTTTAAGGCCCACATTCCATATCTGGCCAGATCAATGTGTTGTGTTCTTGGGCAAAACACTTCACTCTCACAGTGCCTCTCCCAAGGAGGATAAATGGGTACAAGTGAACTGTCAGGGTAGCCTGAGGAAGCCTGGGGAGGCCTGAGGAAGTGCTGGGAAAGAGGGGTGTGGTAACTTGCCATGGACTGCCACCCCATCCAAGGGGAGTTGCAATACTCCAAGCCACTTTTTCTATGAAAATCAGGACAAGTTCCAATAGATAAGAGCAGACTTAACTTCTAGTCATAGACAGGATTCGCGACTCATGAGCCATTTAACCTAATTGCGTGTTGTTTTCTTCCAGAGGATTATTCCTTGCCTGCAATCACAATGTATACTTTTTTATTGATTCAGTACTAATATCTCCAGGTGTATATTCACAGAATTAAATTCTACATACTTGTATAATATATTTACAAAATGTTGATGATACATCTCTTCAAAACGGTGGTATTCATACTAGGATCAACATTGCCAGATACAGATCAGAAAACAACAAACAACTTGGACTGTAAAATAGGTTTGATTGTATACATTTACATCGATCCACCAAAATAAAAATTTTCATATCCTTCTGTTTTCACTTGCCAAGAACCAATTCTTGGTCACACCTACAAATGAAGATTTTTTTTTCTTCTCAAAAGAATAATTCTTGACTGCTTTTCCTCATTAAGTGCTAAGGTCCATTTCCTGCACTCCAGTCATAGCTTCTTCCTCCTCATTCTCTGGCAACTCTTCTAAATTCTTGTCCTCATTTTCCCTCAACAGCTCTACTTGATAATCTGAGGTAGAGTGCTCAAAGTAGCTGGCTATGTGATGCTGTCAGAAGCAACAGTACACAAAGTCATGTAGGTTTATATGTGTCATGAGCAAGACAGTCTTACAGTACCTAAACAGGGTTGTAATCAGTTACAGTGCCTCAACCTGTTACACCCTAACATGAGTATGCATATTCTTCATACTGATTTCTATACATTTCCTAAGATGCTGACAAGGAGAATTTTTTTCACAATCAAGAGCTTCTTTAGTTTGTGATCATTTCCTTTATTCTTGTGACTTAAATGTTGGACATAGGGGGGATGATGTAAAGCGAAATTAGATGCAAGCCACTCAAAGGGGTTAAAGGGTTGAGTAGAACTGGATTATTAACCCTCTAACTCCCATGAGTAATCAAGACAGAATTTCTCCTTACAATATCAATACAATATCAACCAGACAAGTGATGAGAATAAAGAAAAATACCAATTTAAGGATAATTAGTTGATCCAATACTAAATTCTCTGAACTAACATTATAAGAATTGTATGGTCGACAGTAAGGAGCATAACAAATTTGATCTGGGAATTAAAGGGTTAAAGATTCTGCAAGTACATCTCTGAGCTCTAAGTTAATTAAAAAGTATAGCACTAAAACAATCAAATGTCCAAAAAAAGAAAGGTTTTCAAACTTTTTTTCTCCACAACAATGTAATTGTAAGTGAGACCTTCATCCATCAAGAAAGGTTACCAGAAACAAGAATTCCAGGAAAGTCTTAGATCAAGTCCTCTGTGACCCTTCTCAAATGGGTGAGTTGGCTAGAAAGTCTGCTTGTCTGACAGAGAAATTTTCATGCCCTAGATAACTACACTGTAGAAAGGGTTTCTCTAACTCTATTATTCTTGATATTCTGCGCATCTGTTGGCAGACTGAGAGTCCATTTTTGCCGATTAACAGTCAAGTGGTAAATATTGAAGTGAGGAGAAAATGCTTTAAATAGTGTGTAATTAATTACATCAAATCTACCTCTTTGAGTGGCTTGATACACTGAACCATGTTTGCCAGCCTAAAAATTGTCCTTACTAAAAGGTCTTTCACCTGAAAAAATAAACAAGTAAAGTGAGCAAAGCTCCACTCAAGACATTCCAAGTCTACACCGAAGAGGGTGACCCTTAGTGGCACAAAGACCATCACATTTAATGAAGAAAAAAAACAATCTGTATCCAAATTAGATAACTCAGTTAGTAAGTCCTTATCCTAGCTTCTGTACCGTGAAGTGCCTGGGGGTATTTTTAATCTACCTGGGTTAGGTGCTCATCCATCATGGCTTACCCCTCACTATTTTTTCCAGACCTCCCTCTTCACCCTAACATCAGTATGCATATTCTCCATACTGTTTTCTAGACCTTTCTTACAATGCTGACAAGGAGAATTTGTTTAACAATCAAGAGCTGCTCTAATTGGTCATCATTTCCTCTATTCTTGGGACCTTACTGTTTGATTCAGGGGGTGAATTAAAAGGGTTCCTGGCTGGAGAGAGGCGATGTAAGGGCAAAGAGCCTAGCCCTAAAATTAACTAAAAACATCAATTATACACTGTACCTTGGTTCTATTCATGAATGCAGCCCTTGGATCTTTGATATCACCATTCACTGTTCTCAGCTTGTTGGTCAACTTTTCTAGAAATGGCTTAATATAAAACACAACAAGGTACTTATTATTGCCACTGACAAGTACAAACAAAATCATGTCTCAAATCTCTCACATTTACATTATAGGTACTTAATATGGTACCACAGTACCAACTGGTGAAAATGAGAATTTGTGAAGGAAGTCTACCAAATAGTCTGATGTGTAACTTGGCAAGATTCATACAGAACTTCAGTGAGTGAAAACTTTTAATTTTAGGTGATTCCTCAGAAATGAAAGTTGTCAAAATATTTTCAAATATCCTGAACTTTCATGAACTACAATAAAAAATATAGGTTGGTCAACGAGTTTGTTCAAGAGGAAAAGATCAATGCACCTGTTTACTTTGTCCATTGATTCAAGAGGAGGAAAAAAAAACAATTCCCCATGTTCTCTAAATGCACAGTGCAATAACATGTAGTACAGGATGCACAGTGCAATAACAAGGAATCATTTTCAGTGTTCTCCCTTATTTTAAGCATAACAGGTAAAATAAATTTTCAAACCGGTAAAGCAATCCTTTCACGTGTTGAATTTTCAAGAATTCCAAGGAATTTTTAACAGTAATAAGGGGTACTACAGGCAGTAAATGTTAACGGTTACCGCCTGAAAAGGAGAATACTGATTTTAAGGTAGCTTTAACCCTTTAACTCCCAGAACCCACACCTCTGAATCCTATATATAATTATGTACAATATTTTGAAAAAGTAAAACTATTAAACTTCCTTTCATCATATGTTAACCACTTTGAAACTTGCCATGGTAACTAAGCCCCATATCATTTTCATCTGCTTCAATTCACTGGAGAGGTACTTCAAAAGACTACGATAGCTTCAGTGTTATAGACCACAATTACATCATCATATTATCATACTTCCTTGTCTTTAATCTGTAGAACAAATGAATCGTGATTTACCCTTTCTTTAGAGGGCAGGTCCTCACTTCCAACAGCAAAGCTGATCAAAGAAATTATGGTGTGCAGCAGGAAATAATCTGACTCATCTGTAGGTTTAATCTGTGCCACAAGATTAACCAAACTAGCTACCTGTAAAAAAAAAATTGTCAGAGAAAAAAATGCTTGGCAACATGACAGATAGCATTTCGGAAAAATTTGTATCATTTTCCAGTAGGGGTGAAATCCAAAATTTCAAGACCTTGATTCCCCTTTCATGTATGGCCTGATCTGCAAGTACAAGTTTTTGGGTTTTTGACTTAACTGTAAATGAATGTGGACATTGCAAAGGGACCATATTTTATTTTTCTTTCTACAGAATATCAAGCCCTTTTTTTGTTCAACAAAAAAGCTCCTCTCCTGCATGTTGCAAAATTACAGCAAACTATTGCACACTGACTATGAATAGTATGGAATGGTTGCATTAAGAAAAAAACCTACAAAGCTTAAACATAAACCTGTTCTGACATTTACATAAATCCCTCTTAATACAGTCATTTCACAGTGTTTTTTGGTTACTTTTTTTGGAAGTTGTTACACTAAACTAATTCTCATTACTCTGCCAATCTATTTTAACCCTTTAACTCCCAGACATGATTAACATGTAACCTCTCCCTAAAATATCCACATCTAATCCAGCAAACAGGCAATTAGAATACTCAAATTTATCACTTAGAAGTTATCTTGATCTAACACCCAATTCCTGTAAATAAATTAAAAGGAAAGGTGTAGCAGCTAGCTGGGGCAATCAACAATAAGGTCTTGGGTGTTTAAAGAGTTAAAACTTTGTAATTTTTCATCAAACCATCTCACCTTTACATTTTCTGGAACAATTACATTGCATCTGTCCCCACCAAGGTTTTCTCCAGTTTCCTCCTGATTTAGAAACTTGGGCACTAACCAGTGAAGCAGTGTCAAACTAAGACGGCGCTGAAGCTGAATCCCATAAGTGGATGGAGGCTGAATTTCGACAAGATACAACAGATTCCGATGGTCTGTGCTCAGTTTTGTCAAAATACCACACAACTCTTTAATCTGAAATGTACAAACAGGTCACACACCCAGTCAACCCTACTCTGCTAACAGAGTTCCCTTCTAAAGAGAATAAGAAAGATGGTAAGTTTGGAGCTTTTTAAAGAAGTAGAGAAAGATTTTTTTTTTCATCTTTTCATGAGCATGGGACAAAGAAAAACTTCTGTTCCCCATGAGGAATCAAACTTCAAACCTTCGGATTCCACGCTCCACACTGAGCTACAGCTAAATAGTTCTTTGGTTAGCCTCCAATCACAGAAAAAGTGTTAAGACAATAAAGCAAACCTTTCAGTCATTTTCAAATCTTGTAGTTATTT